AAAAAAAAAAAAAAAAAAAAGGTCCAGTAAACTTCCCATTACGCTTAGAACTGGTGTACTTGATGTTTGGAGCCAAAAGAGGAGAAAAGGGATAAGGAGGGTTTCATCATGAGGGCTAGGAATACAAACAAGCAGCCAAAAGAAGGGTGAATAAATACCTCCCTGACTTTCTCCATGACGTACTGGTCAGGAAGCAGATGAATCAACAGAAGAGTTTTAAGGAGAGCAGGTGACACACTTCAGCATGCATCTTTGGTTTTGTTCATTAATTCATTCAACAAATATTTATTGAATATCTTCTAAGGGACAAGTTCAGCTCTAGTTACCCAGCAGCTTTCCCTCAACAGTCTCCTGAATAACTCCTGGTAATACCACACACCAAATAGGTTTTTCTCATTTTCCAGTGCTAAGAATTAGGATGCAGCCTCAAATTCCCATTAGATAACCTACTCAAAGCTGGATAAACATTCACATACATTCATGAGACAATACTACGACTAGTAGTGAATATATTCATTAGGCTGAGAAACATACACATATACCCCAAACTGAGAAATATTTGCTTTATAATTAAGGTTATTCAGTCAACAGCTATCTATTGAGCTCTTAATATACGCCAGGCACTGGGTTTGGTGATGAGGTTACAGTGGTAAACAAAGCAGAAAAGGTCTTGCTTTTGGAACTTTTATTCTACTGGAAAAAACAGATATTTTGAAAGTTGTCAAATAAAGAACATAACCACAAGTTATGCTAGTTACTAAGAAGGAACTAGAGAGCAATAAAACAATGAGAAAAAGAGGAGGTTCTAGAAATGGTCTGAGGAGGTGACATTTAAACTAAGACCTGAACAATAAGAAGTCAGTCACATGAAGAGCCTGAAGGCCATTCCTGGCTAAGGAAATGGAGCCCATGTATGTGGAGACAACCTTCTCAGATGTTTGTCTCTACCAGGAAAATGAGAAATGTAGCCATCACTGGAGAAGAAGAAAGGTAAAGAAAGGTTTGGGATCTTTTTAGTTTGGGTTGGGCTGTCTTTTATTGAAAAAGGATACTTGAACATATGTACATGCTGATGGAAACCATTTCATAGACAGTGATGGTTTGAGAATCCAGAAGAAAGAACAATTTTAAAGAGGCAAAGTAGGGGAGAGGAAAAGGGTCTAGTGCACAAATGAAAAGATGGCCCTCTTCCTCCACTATAAGGATAAAAGAAAGAGATCATGCAGATGCAGGTGATTTGTGTTCTGGTGGTATAAGTGAGGTTCCATGGTGGGAGAAGGTGATATGGCAGGTTTGCAAGAGAAAAAGATAAGACATAATTGTTTCAAACAGTGGAAAAATGTGCTTGGCAGGGAACAGAAGAAAAAGTTCTAGGCAGGATTAAATGATCTGTGACCACGAATACAAAGCAGTGTTCTCAATCAAGTAGAGCTGATTATGTCTTCCCACCCCAGCTTGGGAACATTTGGCATTGTCTGGACATATTCTTGTTATCACACATGGAGGAGGGAGCAATGCTACTAGCATCTAGTGGATAGAGGGCATGGATACTGCTAAACATACTACAGTGCACAGGAAAACCCCCACAACAAAGAATTATCCAGCTCAGTATGTAAATAGAACCAAGGTTGGGAAACCCAGATATAAAGTGATGTCATACTTACATATAGACCATCTCCGGGAAGCTACAGAAGGAGACAGTGATACACTCTGTGGGCAGAAATGGGACCATGGGGCACAATGAAAAGAGGGTTTACTTCCATTCTTATACCCTTGTGTGCCTTTTATTTAACATTTGTATTATATCCATGTATTGCTTATTCAAATCAATCAAAAGATAGAAATAAATCAGTGATAAAGAGTAATCTATTTAAGTAGACAATAGATAAAAAATAAACCAATCTGTCTATTTGGGTAATTTTTCTCCAGCAATGTTCAGCTTTTAGGATGCCAGCTTAAAAAAAATGGGATTTTTGCAAGGAGAATACAGTGAAGGAAGCAGAATATTCTGGAGTTGAAAATTTTTCCAAGATAATGATTGTCCTGATAAGGGTAGAATCTAAGCTTATCAGAGAGAGGAGTAAAGATAAAGAAGGAGCTGATGGATATGTAAGGAATGATAGTTTATTAGAGGCCTCAATATGGTAAAAATATACATATTTTAGGAGAGAAAACGTTGAAGCAATTGAGCTGTAATAATAAGAGGTGATATTGTGAAAATAAGAAATCAAATTGTAAAGGAAATACCATAATTTTTTTTTATTTTTAAAAGTTTTTTTTTTTTAATGTTTATTTATTTTTCAGACAGAGAGAAACAGAGCATGAACAGGGGGAGGGTCAGAGAGAGGGAGACACAGAATCTGAAGCAGGCTCCAGGCTCTGAGCGGTCAGCACAGAGCCTGACACGGGGCTCAAACTTGCGACCACAAGATCATGACCTGAGGCAAAGTCGCACACCTAACTGACTGAGCCACCCAGGCACTCCAAGAAATACCATAATTTTTAACAACAACAAAGTCTAAGGAGAAGCCATGGTAGTGAATAGTTGAAAAAAAATAGGAAAAAGTCATTGTGAGTGAAGAACAGAACAGTGTAAGAGACCAGGGGTTTGGATGGATCCCTCAGGTCAATGGCTTCTTCTGGAGCATGAAGTGCCTCTCACGGAGTGGCTTATTAATAAAGATAGATGCCATTGTTTAGACAGATGCCATGTATCAATACTTTACATATCAGCCATTTTTGTCCAAGAGAGGTCAAGTGACTCGCCTAGTGATTACACAGTTAGTAAGTAGAGGAACAAAAATTCAAGTTCAGGTTTTTCAGTCCAAAGTCTTGCCCCTTCCACTCTGGTATGGCTCTGCCCCCTGGGGGGTGGGGAGAAATTGTCATCAAATCTATTGCAAGTTGGATGAGCTTAACACTGGCAATAGCATAGGTAATGAAAACTTTGGATAATGGGAAAGAGGCTGAGGGAGAGGGATGTCTGGCAATGACAGATTTGCTCCACAGTTCTTCTCACCCCAGTGAGTTCTTCTTAACTTGGCCTTAAGTCAAAATATGTGAGGAAGCCATGGAGGAGAGAAATAATAAGGAAAAAATCCAAATCTTAGTGATTTCCAAAAAGCACTGTTTATCTGTATTCTAAAATATAATTTTTATTACATGTATTATTTTCATTAAAATACACAAAATGTATATAAATACTGATTATATTATAGGAAAACAGCATCAACAGCTGACAATCAAAGAGTCTTGAGGACTATTTTGAGGACAGCTGAGTTCGTTGCCAAGAAGTACTCAAAATCTACCACTGAATGCGACCCATGTTTTCCTAACATGTCCTTCCCAATCTCCACATTGTCCCTACTTAGGTAACTCTTCTAGTCACATGCATGTGAACATGTGCACATGCATGCACGCACACACGCATGCACACACGTGTGCACACATACACACCTCTACAATTGCACTGAAAATGTACATGCTGTGTAGGGAATGGACCAACTTCCCAAAAGGTCCCCCTTTCTATTCTGTTAGCATCACCTGGTAGCTTAGGCTATGCATTTAGAAATAAAGATGCTGCCGGGGTGCCTGGGTGGCTCAGTCGGTTAAGTGTCCAATTTCAGTTCAGGTCACGATCTCGCGGTCCGTGAGTTCGAGCCCCACGTCGGGCTCTGGGCTGATGGCTCAGGGCCTGGAGCCTGCTTTCGATTCTGTGTCTCCCTCTCTCTCTGCCCCTCCCCCATTCATGCTCCGTCTCTCTCTGTCTCAAAAATAAATAAACGTTACAAAAAATTTTGAAAAAAAAAAAAGATGCTGCCAATGGGACACTGGCCTCTTTAGCTTATCATGCAAGCCTAGTCTTCTTTTTCCATCCCTTACACACTCATGTCACATCCATATATCTGAAAGGCAGCCTCCCCTGAGGTAGACAGTAAACTCACCCCAAGAGGTGAGTTAATTGTCCTTTCCAATGGGCCAAAATGCTTTTGGCCACTTAAGATGAGTGTAGAACACCTTGGTAGCTGCTTCTCCCTGCCTCTGCATCTTCACATGGCAGTGAGAGTCTCACGTTCTTCAGTCATATTCCCCCTCCTGTCTGGCACATGGACCAGACAGATGGACATCTACAGTGAGATGAGGAACTGTAGACCTGCTGGACCCTGTAGTCTCAAGGTCTACTTGGCTCATGTCTTCTCACTTCACCTCAAGTGGGCTTAAGAAGACTCTCATTCAAGATCATATTCTCAGTGCCTGTAACAAGGAACCATATGGAGAGAATCCCAAAGTGCTTTTCTTAGAGCTTATATAAGCCAAAAAATGTCTTAGATTCCTCAAAACTGACCAGAGATAATTCAGATACATTGACATATAAATGGTCAGCACTGGTGAGATTGAATACTGCCCCCAGGTAGCTGCTGCGGGCCCACATCTGGCCAGTAGTGCAGTAGTTCATCATCTTCCCTTCCATCAGCACCAGGTCCTGGGGATACTTAGAGTTCCTCATGTAGACCTTGTGGTTCAGGGGTTGGTTGTTGCAGGACTGACCCCTGAAGTTCACTTTGGAATATACAAAGTACATCCCAGTGTCATTGATCACAAGGCCACCCTTCTTATACTTCACCCCAGAGACAAGGGCAATTCCATATGTGTCTTCCCATTCCAGAGGGATGGATCTTGAGTTGGGCTTGCCTGAAATCAAATCAGAGAGGAGCGTTCAGCCAGGAATGCTCATGTATCCAACAAAAGAAGCTTCCAAGGCAAAAACTGTGGGCCTTTCCTTGAGCAGATGACTAAAGTGACATAGCCCATATAGAACAGGCCAATGGGTCAGACTTGATCCATTACTGAATTCCTTCAACACCTCTATTAAATTGCTTGCCTCAGTTTATCATCTATACAACTGGGACAATAATATATATGCTAGTCAATTACAATGGGACATTATTGAGATTATTTTAGCTCTCTGGAACAAAGATTCTATAGTCGTCAGAACTAACACCAAAACTTCTAGGCTTCGAGGTCCCCCCAGTGAGGAGGAAAGCCAAACCCAAGGAACTCTGAAATTCTAAAGTTGGGAAGAATCTTTAGGGATCACCAGGTCCAACTCCTTGCCTACACTAAGGAGTCTTCAGTCCCTACTTTGGGCTAAAATTCCCTCTCTTTTATGTCCCCACAGCTGTATATACATACCTTCACCAGAGAACACTCCCCAGTACTTAAATTACTGCTTATGTACCTGTCTTTCTCTATTAGACCTTAAGTTCCTTGAAGGCAGGAACCATGTGTTATTCATCTACATGTCCCCAAGACTTGGCACACAACATGTGTTCAATAAATATCTGTTGGTCCAAACTGGATCATTCTACAGCCTCTGCCTAAATAATTCCAGGGGCAGTGGCACATCAGTTTCTGTGATACTTTTCCACTTTCAGATGTTAATGGACTATACCCTGGTAATGCCCATACCACACTGTTATCAAATCACTTCACTCCACTACGTGACCACATGCAGGAAGTCCCGCAGTGCCAGGACTGGGCCTTTCTCTTCATTCTCAGTTCTACTCTTGCAGAAAGCAGGGTGAGGCTCTTCCAGAAAACCAGAAAAGCACTTACTCCCCACCTTCCCAGATCTCACCTCTTATGCCCATGCCCCAAATTTCATACAGTTCTTTGGAATTATTGAAGAGTGGGCTCCTGGTGGAGCTGAATTTCTCTAGTTCAGAATATGGCCTAGACCGCAGTAGGGGTTCAGTCTGCGTGTGAGGTTGACTTGACTAGAAACATAGGACCATTCTTGGGTGTCAAATACTGTCACCAGAAAGTAACAACTCCCTCAGAGCACAGTACCCAACCAGCTATGCAGCTTTCTGTCAAAGGCTTTCCCAAACCCCATGTACCTTCCAGATACAGACCTGTTAAATGGGCCACTTTTCTCAGCTCCCTTTTTTCAGAGGGTGGATTGAGTTGACCTGTATCATAGAGAGATGAAAAATACATGTAAAAATGAGACACCAACCATTCTTTTGTTGGGACTCTGAACAGGTCATTTAAATAAAAGTGATTTTTTAAAAACATAAATGACAACAGTCTGACATATACTAATCATGCAAATCCAAACCATAGAACTCACAGGAACCTGTATTTCAGAAACAAAGAGGTCAAAAATAAACCAAATTGAAATAGACATGTGCATAGTTATAATGTCACAATAAAATAATAAAAAGGTTGATTTATAAAGAGCTATCAGATCAGTTACTGCATTTGAACTTGCCACAACCCTTTGAAGTAGACATTATTGTTCCACCTTATAGATGGCTAAATGAGCTTAGAACTTGGGTGGCACTGACCCAGCTACTCAATATCAGAGAAGGATAGACACTCAGGTCTTCTGACTCCAAATTAGGATTTTTCTACTCTGGTTCTGCTGTCTGTAGCACTCCTCAGGACAGAGGCCAAAGAAGACTGTGATTTCACCTCCTGGCCATTAGGTCTCCCCCCAGGTGGCATTTGACAGTCTGCCCAAATTAATCATCCTCAGATCTCAAATGCCTTGAATAGCTCCTCATTGAATATATAATTGTGTAAAAGTTTCCCCAGCCACACGATCTCTGCCTGTCTGACCAGCCTCATCTCCTCTACTTGCTCACATTGGCCAAGGCTGCACAACACGAGTTCTGATATAACCTGAACACACCCAGCTTCCAGCCCCTGTGCCTTTGCTCATGCTGTTCCGTCTGCCCAAAACGCCCTCCAAACAGATCCTTCTGGCAAATTCCTATCAACCCTTTAAATACCACCTACAACACCTCTTTCTTTGGGAAACCGTCCTAGGCCTTTTTAATCAATATTTCTCCCTCCTTTGAAACCTAGAATCACTCTGTCTTTACCTCTCTTGTCAGTTCTGACTCCCCGTTTCTGAGGTGCCTGTGTAACTTGTCTTATTCCCCTCAAATAAAGGGCAAATTTCTTACTATGTATTTAATCTACCAGAGTACTTAGCTCATTTTCTGACACAGGGCATATAGCCAGTAAATATTTGTTAAATTTAATTGGAGGAGTTAAAATAGACAATAGTTCCCAAAGTAGACATTGTGTCTCTGACTTCAGGTATTTTAATCAAACTGAGCTACCACTTAGCTAATGAATTCAGCTAAGGCATTCAAGAAAGATTCATAGAAAGGCACTCATCCACATCAAGTTCCTTGTGATTAGCCTGTAAGACACACATATGGCATGAGAATGCCCCAGTCAACTCAGAATGTTACCTGACTAATCATTACCTCTCTAGCCACCCAAGACCACCCACAATGAATGAGGTGTTAGTGAACAGGAAAGGCAAAACTGAGTCTCCTCTACATTCCTATACCACAAACCATCTGTGCAACTCGTCTGACATTCAGCCAAGTGCTGACAGGAAATGGAACAGAGAACCACATGTTGCGTATCTTTATATCCCTCACAGAGCCTTGTACAGTGTTATTCTCATAAAGGGTACTCAATAAAAGTATCTTCTGGATAAATATTGAAATAAACTGGAAATATGTCCTACGCTTCAGTGATGAATTTTTCCTGCCCCCAGGGTCTTTGCACATGCCATTCTCACTGCTGGAATGTTTTCCCCTATCCTCCTCCCACTGCACCTGACACACATGCACACTCATACACATGCATGCACACACACACACACACACACACACAACACCTCCTTAGAGGGGACTTTCCAGACCACTCTATCTTATGTCACACTTAGTACAATTTGAAATTATGCCGTGGCTTGCTTGCTTTTGTTTATCCTTTCCAACATGCTAAAAGCTCTGTGCAGGCAAGACCCTTGTCTCTCTTGTTCTCAATCATCACCCAACACCCAGCACCCAACCTGGCACATAAGAAGCACTCCAAGAACATTTGTGAATGAATAAAAGACTTAATGAGTTAACTGTGGGAAAATGGAAAGTGAAAAAGGAGCAAATAAGAATGTTTAAATAACTAGTCCTTCTAGTTCTTTACTAAGAATAAAAAATATGCATATGCACTTATACAGCCAATATTAACCTAAGCATGCTGTTTTATAACTTGTTTTTTTGTCTAACATAGAATGCACAATCTCCATGACATTAAATGGCCTTCTAATATATGGATTTTAGTTGCTACGTATTAGGACCTCTGAATACACCATAATGTATTTAATCTCCTGTTAAGAGGCATTTAAGTTTCTTCTGACTTGTTTATTATAAATAGCCTAATAAGGAAGTGATGAACATCCTTATCTATGAGATTTTAGGTATTATCTCTGATTATTTTATCAAGATAAATTCTTAGTGATGAGGTTGCATGGCAAATGAACACTTTTAAATTTTTGGTACATTTTTCCAACTGCTCTTCAGTTAAGGTATAGCAATTTACCTGTTCCCTGGCTGTCAACTAATGTTTAAGCAAACTTTCTCTCACATTTTGCCAATCTGTTTTTTTTTTTTTTATCTTTACTATTTGGATGGATGAAAATGGGTGTCCTCTTGTTTTAATTTGCATCTCTTTTCTTATTAATAAAGTTGCTAATTTGATTTCCATGGGATAATTCACCAATCTCTGGCCCATCTGGGTTGATGTAAGGAAGATACTTGTTTACTGGAAAAGGTAGACCTGACTCATCTGTTCACTTAACTTTTAGTTACTAAAATGATCCCAGAGAGTGGGTGAAAGATGAGTAATTAGGGACCTGTTTCACCAGCCACATTCCACTGATTTTCAAAGCTATTTTATTTTAGAAATCCTCCCAAGGTTTCATTTTTCTAACAAATATTTCTACTCTGCTTGAATACACCTGGACTTTCTAACACTTAGGGACTTGGATCTAGAACTAGAGACCAGAGCATCCAAAGGATGGCTCCTAAAGAGCCTACATTCTGGAGCAGTAGGATGACTTGGGTCACCTAAGATAGACACATAAGAAAATTTGGAAACAGCCTCCCCTCATTGGATGGCCAGTGCTGTCTTCTGTTTGCTTCCCAATTTCTAAGGATGAGATTTACCTATTGTCTTTGCAGACACATCTTGCTTCTCATCTTTATTTCTCATTCCATGGCCGTCATAGACAGATGGAAGTTTCCCTATTTCATAAGGCACCAGTCTATATACTGAAAGCCCTGTAGTTGACAAAGCATCAGGAGCCTGTGTTCCTTTCCTTCAACCCCAGTTATACGCCTGTGGTTTTGGGCATATCCCCTAATCTGTCTGGTATGTTGTTTCTTTTCTGAGAAGTGAGATGACTGGACTAGATTTGCTCCAAGCTCCCTTCCAACTTTTACCAAATCCAAAGTTCAGTGAACTTTGGTTTAATAAACCAGAGCATCCTAAATCTACCTGTCCGTAGTTTCCAAACTATATCCCAAAACTTCACAAGGTCAGTGTTCAACATTTTCATCTTCTTCCTTGCTCTGAATCTCACATAAAGGACTTTCCTTTATTATTGAAAGTAGCTCATGATTGCCTTTGTGGGGGAAGCTGGACTAGCCTTTGAAAAATGCCTAAAGTCTTTCCCCAAGTTTGCCAGTGAATGCAAAAGATCAACCCCAATGTGGATAATTAATTGCCTACTTGTTAAAAAACTTAAGGGCGCCTGGGTAGCTCAGTTGGTTGAGCATCTGGCTCTTCATGTTGGCTCAGGTCATGATCCCAGGGTCATGAGACCAAGCCCTAAGTCGGGCTCCATGCTGAGCATGGAACCTGCTTAGGATTCTCTCTCTCTCCCTCTGCCCCTTTCCCCTGCTCACACTCTCTCTCTAAAAACTAAAATAAAAATAAAAATAAAAGCTTAATTATATAATATATCCTATAAAATATATATCCTATATATATCCTATAAAATATATCCCAAAAATTTTTTTAAATAAAGCTTGACTCTTGAGTAAACTCTTAGAGAATTTAAAGAGGAGAAGACTTTTCCCAGAAACATCTGTCTGTTCCCCCACCCTGCCCCCTCTCCCTAGGAGTTATAGCCATTGCCCTGTTCATGGAAAGCAGGAGCCCTGAGGAAGGGGACAGGCCTGGAGCCAGCTGCTTAGGGGACAAAAGTTGTATGTGTGTCTCTTTCCAAAGCCAAATGGAAATTATTTTGAATTGTGTGCAATATTCAGTTATATTGGTTTTGAATGATTAAATTCACTTCATGTTTAGGGCAGCTCAAGGAACCAAAATGACTAGAGATTCAGAATTAGCCAGGATTCCTTTTGTAGTATACAATTATCCAAGAATGAGATGGAATTCAAGGCATTCCACCAACGTGGTTCAGCAGTGAGGGCTGTCTTTAGAAACTCAACATACATGCATGAAAGAACTCACCTATTTGCTTCTCCAAAGATGATGCTACATGCTTTTGGCTGGTGGACTGGCAAAAGAGAGAGAGAAAAAAGATATATAATAAATATGAAGTTCTTTATGCTTAAGGAGGCAAAATTGTCAAATAAACCAAATAAACCTGAGAAGGGAATCTAAATACCTCAGAACCTTTCCTAACTCAGACTTTGGCCATGCAATTGTGTCTTACCATGCCTCCATTTGTGTGTGTGTATGTGTGTGATTTGAAATAGTTCTAATATTTTTAGGTATTTTCAAGGAAATTTAGTTTGGTCATTTAAATGAATTCACTTCTAAGCAAGACCTCAAAGTTCCTTTTCTTTTTTGAATCACTAAGCTCTAGGGAGGGAGGGGTTCAGCAGACTGACTTGCCCACTGAGAAAGAACCAGAACTGCCAGTCCTATTTTGGCCCCAATCCTTTCCAATATAGAAAGTATTCCTTTCACTCGTTGGAGCTTCCATTTCTCTGCCTACAGAATAGAATCACTGGAATGATCCATTTCTTTTTTTTTTTTTTAAGTTTATTTATTTATTTTGAGAGAAAGAGAGAGAAAGAGCATGCACAAGCAGGGGAGGGGCAGAGAGGAGAGACAGAATCCCAAGCAGGCTCTGCACTTTCAACACAGAACCTGACATGGGGCTTGAACTCACGAACTGTGACATCCTGACCTGAGCTGAAATCAAGTTGGACGGTTAACTGACTGAGCCACCGAGGCGCCCCTAGAATGATCCATTTCTAAGACAAGAAAAAAGGATTAAAAACTACTTCGCGGGGCACCTAGGTGTCTCACTAGGTCAAGCGCCTTCCTCTTGGTTTTTGGCTCAGGTCGTGATCTCAGCGTTCATGAGTTCAAGCCCTGCATTGGGCTCTGTGCTGACAGCACAGGGTCTGCTTGGGATTCTCTCTCTGCCCCTCCCCTGCTCATACTTTCTCTCTCTCTCTCTCTCTCTCTCTCTCAAAATAAATAAATAAATATACTTAAAAAAATTTTTTTAAATACTTTGCAAGTGAGACCATGATCCCTGTGGGCCCCGGTAGTCCCCCCCACCCCTGCCCCATGGCTTCAGGGCACAGTCATCCACACAGCAGCTTACCTCTCTGAGTTCAGCCAGCTCCTTCTGGAGGTGGAAGAGCTGAAACATCCCCAGCCCCAGTCCAACCAGGGCCACCAGAACCATGAAAAACATCACAAGAAGACACAGCCCTGTGTTGTGGTCCCTCCTCGTCTTCAGAGGTGGCAATGGCAGTGGGGGCAGTGGTGGTGGCGGTGGCGGTGGTGGTAGTGTTGGTGGTGGCGGCGGTGGCGGCCTCCTTTGTCCAGGCCTTCCTGGCACAGAGGATGGACAAGGGAGGACCGACCCTGGAGGGCCCCAGGGAGAACTGGCCCTGCTGTCCACCCAGTAGATTTGGGGGTATGGGTAATTCAGGGGCTGCTGCATGGCAGCCTGTTCCTCGGGCTGGCCCCCAGTGAAGATGTCAAGACCAGGACCGCTGTTTCTGACTGCTCCAGGGAAGAAAAGTCAGCTCTGTCTTTATAGAGTTTCCATAGGCAAGGGAAACACCTCTCTCGTTCTCTCTTTCCTTCTGTCTTTCTGCTTCTCAAAGAGACACCCACTCACTTTGCATCTGAAGCTGAGAAGCCTCAAACCGGCTCAGAGCAGACCCCGGGAAGTTTCCGCCCACAATTTTCTGGTGAAAGCCTGCAAGGCCCCAGCGGCTGCTGCTGTGTTCCCTGAGATGCCTGTAGAAGATCCTTGTCTTCCTTGGGCCCTGCGAGAGCAGGTGGTACTGGGTGTAGCCCCGTGGGCTTTGTCCACTGCCCAGCGCCAGGGAGAGTAGCCAGTGGGGTCTGTCCAGGCCCCCAAGGGCAAGACTGTGGAGCCTCAGCCAGAGGAATTGCTTGCACATCTTACCTTTCGCATGAGGGACTCACTCCCTTGCTGCTGTCCTTTCCCCACACCCAAGTACTCACACTACAAAGCACTGTAACTCATGGGGTAAAAGTCTGCCCCACCCCCTCCCTAGTGATTAGACCCCAGGTGGCAACCCCGTGGCTGATATGCCTTTTGGACCCCATTGACCTGCTTTGTTCATGCCTCAAAATGTTTTTTTGTTTCTTTTCACTGTTGTCCCCTTTTAAAACCTGGGATATTCCAGGGACACCTGTGTGGCTCATTTGACTGAGCAACCCACCTCGGCTCGGGTCATGATCTCCAGGCCCATGGATTTGAGCCCTGCGTCAGGCTTTGTGCGGTCAGTGCAAAGCCCGTTTCGGTTCCTATCTCCCTCTCTCTCTGCCCCTCCCCAGCTTGTGCTTTCTCTCTGTCTCAAAAATAAAAACATCAAAAAATATGAAATAAAATTGGATATTCCACATTAAAATCTACATTTTTTTATTATTATGTTTTGAAACATTACAATACTGGCGTCCAGACCTGCACTGCTGCGGTACTCTCAGAACAGACAGAGCTGCTCTAGGCTGGCCACCTGCTCCCCTCCCCACCATGCTTCACACCCCCCTCACCCTGTGAAATGGCCTTCCTGGCCCCTGCATGCATGTGTTTGCAGCCTGTGTTATGGTTGTCAGATGTAGTACTTGGTGCCCTGATAAATTTGAATTTCACATAAATAAATAATTTTTAGGATCAGTATGTCCATATACAATGTGGGCTACACAAAAAAAATTATTTGCTGTTTATCTGACATTAAAATTTAACCAATTGTCCTGTTTGTTTTTTTACTAAAGATGGGAACTCTACCTGGACTGACATCACCCTTTTCTCTGACTTCAAATACTATTTATTATTTTTTAATATATATTTTAAAGTTTATTCATTTAGTTTTGAGAGAGAGAGAGAGAGCAGGGGAGGGGCAGAGAGAGAGGAAGAGAGAGAATCCCAGGCAGGCTTTGCACTGTCAGCACAGAGCCCAATGCAGGGCTTGAACTCATAAACCGTGAGATCATGACCTGAGCCAAAATCAAGAGTCAGATGCTTAACCAACTGAGCCACCCAGACACCCCTTCAAAGACTCTTGAAATAAATGCCAGTAACTCCCAAGTGCTTGGCTCCAGTCACAATCATGTTCCCATATAACCCATAAAAACCTCTCACAAAACCTATTTTCCATTTTACCAGAAGGCTCCACGTTTCAGATCTCATTAGCATTTATATCATGCTTTGACATTGCTGTGGCTACTATTCTGACTCTCCACCTGTGCCAAACCAATACCAAACTTATTCCCGGCCACATTCTGCCCACCCACCTGGGTTCCCATACTACCTGTTTCACTTGAAACTTGTTTCAACTTGTTTCACTTGAAGTTGTCTTTCTGGTGACAACTTCAACTCCTCTCTCTTTCTCTTCTGCAACATTTAAGCCAGGACTATTGATTTTCCCCGAAACTTGCTGCTCACATAGGCACACCCTGTCCTGTATTCTTCCTGTCATTGCCTTAGGTCACACTCTTATTATCTCTCACCTGCAATAGTGCAAGGGCACCCTGACTGCTCTCCCTCCCACCTTGGACTTGGGACCAGCTGTCCCAAGCACATATCACCCTGCAAACTGAGGCAAGAATCATGCTTGTGAAAACAAACTCAATTATCTCACTTTCTTGCTTAAAACCTTCTGTTGGAAGGTTTGATACCGGAAGTCGTCCAGATTCCCTAGCGTGACACATGCATGGACTCTTTCCAGTTAGACTCCAACAGCTGGCACTGCCCCTTCCCCAAACACTTCTGCCCACATCCCACTCTCTGCCCATGAGACAGTGTGACAGGTAAGAGCAGAACTGACCGCACAAGGTTCTCACTATCTTTCAGAGGTGGGTAGGGTTAATGTGCTTTCAAACTCACATATGGCTTTATTCATAGTCATTAAAAATGGCAAGTTTAAAGTTCATAATCATCAAAATATATCATTTTAAGAACTCCACCATACATACAACAAAAAGCCCAACAAACAAAAATGTTGAAAGTATCCTGAAATAACTCAAACAAAAAAATTGTAGAGTCATATTTTTAAACTGTAAAAATTTTACTAAAAATGGCAAAGATTCAAATAAGTGAAAAAACACACTTATTTTTCTGTCCTCTGGGGAGGACAGAAAGTGTTGCATGATGCTTAGAGCTTTGTAGTTCTGCCTGGATTCAAATTCCAGCTCTTCCACTTATTAGCTGTGTGAACTGGACAGGTCACTGTCCCTCCTCTGTGCCACAATTTTCTCATCATAAAAATAGGCATGGTCAGCAAGCTGGTGCAGCCACTCTGGAAAACAGTATGGAGGTTCCTCAAAACATTAAAAATAGAACTACCCTACGACCCAGCAATGGTACTACTAGGCATTTATCCAAGGGATACAGGTGTGCTGTTTCGAAGAGACACATGCACCCCCATGTTTATAGCAGCACTATCGACAATAGCCAAAGTATGGAAAGAGCCCAAATGTCCATCAATGGTTGAATGGATAAAGAAGATGTGGTATATATATATACAATGGAGTATTACTCAGCAATCAAAAAGAATGAAATCTTGCCACTTGCAACTACGTGGATGGAATTGGAGGGTATTATGCTAAGTGAAATTAGTCAGAGAAAGACAAATATCATATGACTTCACTCATATGAGGACTTTAAGAGACAAAACAGATGAACATAAGGGAAGGGAATCAAAAATAATATAACAACAGGGAGGAGGACAAAACATAAGAGACTCATAAATATGGAGAACAAACAGAGGGTTACTAGAGGGGGTGTGGGGGGGAGATGGGCTAAATGGGTAAGGGACATTAAGGAATCTACTCCTGAAATCATTGTTGCACTATATGCTAACTAATTTGGATGTAAATTTAAAAAAAGTAAAATTTTAAAAAAGGGGCATGATCAGGTGTGCCCGGGTGGCTCGGTCAGTTAAGCATCCAACTCTTGGTTTTGGCTCAGGTCATGATCTCACAGTTCAGGAGATTGAGCCCTGAGTTGGACACCATGCTGACAGCCTATTTGGGATTCTCTCTTTCCCTCTCTCTCTTTCTGCCCCTCCCCCACTCACGCTGTCTGTCTTTCTCAAAATAAACACTGAAAAAATTGGGCATGATCACAACAGTACTTATTTCATAGGGCATTGTGGGCACTAAATGCGCCAAAGCATTTGATACACTTAAAATAGTCCCTAGCAGCAAAGTAAGCTCTTATCAAATATTACTGTTGTAAATGTAGGAAATCTTCCCACATGTAATTCATCTGTAGACTTAAGAAACTGATGGTCTTCCACTAAAGATAAAAGAAGGTGGAGACAGGTTGCAGGGAAAAGCACAAGTCGATGCCCAACAATCAGTATCTGGAGATTCTACCGGTGGACTGACTGATGGACTGATGGAACCCTCTGTTTCAGACTAAGATCCCCCTTGCTCTTCTCTCTCAAACTCCCACAGAAACTTCTAGCATTCTTCTATCAGAATTATGCTATACTTTCACATCTCCCTCTGCCCTGCTTCTTGATTCATTCTGTAATAGGAGGAGGAATAAAAATCATAATATCTGCCCCCGACCCACCCAATGACCCCTAATCCTGGGAGAACCTGAACAGAAATAGAGGCTGAGAGCAGTCTTTAAACACCACTATTGCTCTTTGATAATGCCACCAAACATCATATGTCCGCAAAATCATGGAGAAATAAAAACCCTAAAAAACAAGAATAGGGACTCATCATAGGGAGTACTACTAGAACCTTGCTAATTAGCAGAAACAATCTTTTCAAACCAGATTGCTGGGG